CCTTATCACTTCTTTGCCGTCTTCTTCTCCCCAGTCCCCAAATCGGCCCCAGGGCAGAGAGAGCAGAAACCACAGGAGGAGAGCTGGGGATGGATGGGGTGAGGAAGCAAAGATACTTAGCGTGCCTCCAATGGTGTGGGAGCAGAACTCTAAGGTGGCCTCCGTGATCACGATGTGATTTCCATGACTATTTGTATTGTACAGCAGAGTCTTGCAGATGTAATTAAGGTTACTAATCGTTGACCTTAAAATATGGAGATTATCATGGTGGGCCTAGCCCAATCAGATGAGCCCTTTAAAAGCAGAGAGTTTTCTTCAGCTGGTAGCGAAGAGGCAGTCTGGGAGATTCGAAGTGTGAGAGAGATTCCGTGGAAGGGAGTTCTTCATTACTGAGCTGGAGAGGGCCATGTGGATGGGGCAGACTTTAGTGGCCAACACTGACTCCCAGCTGACAACCAGCAAGGAAACAGGCACATCAGCTCTACAGTGAAAGGAAGTGAATTCTGCCAAACCAAATGAGCTTGGAAGTAGAGTCTTCTCCAGAGCCTCCAGAATGGAGCCCCGTGCGATTGACACTGATTTCAGTCTTGTGAGACTTGAGAACAGAACCCAAGCGAACCTGCCCAGAGATCTAACTACAAAACTGAGATAATACATGAGTCTTGTTTAAGCTGCTAAATTTATGGGAATTTGTAATGTAGCAACACAAAACTAATACAAGCGTGTAGCAAGCCCATCAACCTTAAATCAAGTTTGGATACATGCTTCTCATAGGCTAGATGTATTAATATCTCAATTTGCCAACTAAAAATGCCTTATAGGGTATTTTATGACTTAACAGTGATCATAACATCATTAGACTAAGTTTCCAAAGGGGAGCGGAAGAACGTCTCTCACTGAAAAAATATCAAAGAAAGTGGGAGACATAAAATTGCTTTGTGAATGCTTCCTGTAAGTTGAACTTGTTAACAAACCAGTTATTTATCGTGTATTCAGTATTTTTTTGTGATTATATTTTAATAGAGGCATCCACAAACCCAGACTAATATTAGTTTTAAAATTTTTCTGCCATAGGAATGCAAAATTATCATATTTAAGCTTTTTAAACTAAATATGTCAAAATTGTGTGAGATAATTTTTACCAATAGCAAATAATCCAACTCACAAGTAGACCTTATTGTTGAGGATCATGGCATGGTAATGCAAATATAGAACCTTCAAATCACTGAATACGTGATTTATCAAGAATTACATCTATTAGTAGAACAACACGTGGTTCCATGTGCAGTAGAAGGTAGGGCATCAGTAAATCTGAAATCAGGAACATGGTATTTGACATCTCACTGCTGCTTTTCCTATAATGGGCTAAAATGAACTCTGCTGTCCAAAAAATCCGTAAATTGAAATGGTTTAGTATTTTTGTTTATGAAACAACTTACTGAAAAACCAAACTCAAGCAAAAACATTGATTTCTTTTTACAAAGCAAAACAAACAAAAACTTCACAAAATTTATAAGTGGCTAAATATATATAATCAAACTATAATACCAAGGTCAACATTATTTTCTGATTAATGTTATTGTGTCTTCATTTATATATGTATGTGATATTTCATAAGAAAACTTAATTTCCCCAAGTAAGAACTACTTTTAAATGTCTGCAAGATGTTAAAATATTTGGCTGGTTTTCTCATTAATGAAACTATTCTTCAATATATTTATAAAATACCTGATGGAATAAAATAATATACTGAGAATCAGTTATATGAAATATAATTTTTCACTCAAAACTTTGTCCAAGATAAAACAAAAATTTTACTCAAATTAACTAACATTTTTTCTTTTAACGTTGTTAATAATGAGTAAAAAAAAGAATCACAAGAGAAAAAATATTTTTAAGTGTCATACCTTATTTTTAACTTGGAAATGTATTTTTACATCAAAATTTTATCATAAAGCAAAAACAAAAAACAAAAAGGGAAAGGGAAGCATGTTTACTGTGGCAAATTGTTCCAGAGTTTAAGCTTTTCTGATTAACATCGTTACCAAGGAGACACCTGGTTATAACTCGTTTCAGCACGGAAGAGCAATACTGATGCGTTGGGAAGTAGATCTTTTCGATAAGAATATATTCACTGCTTCTGCAATGTCTAACAGACCTATCTATAGTAAAAATCTGGTTTCCTAGGCTTTTGATTAAGAGAGTCATTATCAGAGATTAAAGTCTTTGGACATTCTTCTTGTTTAAAAACAAAAAAACCTTCCAGGTAGTTTGTACCAATGTCACCTTGGAATCAGAATTCTCCTTTTAGGAAAGACAATTTAAAAATGACAGTTTAAATCCATAGCTATCCCTTATTTTTTCAATCATGCATGGTTGAATGAGATATAATTAATAACAATGATAATTCACTTTTTTATATGAAAAGCAATTTTTTCTCATTACAAAGGTAGTACACTTGTTTTAATGGTAGGATGAGAATTTCAGATATCAGTAAAATTAAAATAATTGGTATGCATAATTTTAATCTAAATGACTTGAGGTATAAGTTCTGCATCTGGACAAAAATACGTTGCCTCCATAAAAAGAATAATCAGATAAACCATATTTCCAGTGGCATTATACGAAAAAAGTATATTCATATTTGCTTAAACTTAATAGTAACTGTTCTCATTCTTATTTAACTGCTCAACGTATCTGAGAAGCATGCACTTAGATTACAAAACAAGTTATTTCCTATCTTCCCAAAGTTAACAAATTAAATGAACAAAGAAATAGCTTTCAAAGTCCTTTTAAATATTGCAAAACTAATTACTGCACGTCTTCCTCTATGATTGTATATAGATAATTGTATATATGATTCTCCAGATAAAGTATTTAACATTTATGCAGTTTTTTACGCTTTTTGGATTCTGTTCCAGCTACCTCCAGATATAGGCACAGTGAGTGCATTGCTTCCTCAGGTATTTACTAAATGTTGTTGATGAACTGGATCATTTAAGTGACATTGGCTCCTTAACATGATTTATACAGGAGCAAAGAGAGAGTATGATCTGACTACCTGAGAAAAGATATGAACTTTAATTTAGTTTTCCAGTAATATATTTCACAATTCTAAAAAATATTTCTATATTTAACAATCTTTAATAGATTAGAGAGTATAGGCAACAAAATCAACATATGACTAAGGATTCTGTCGGAACACATTGGTTTTATTTATTTTTTGATGGTCCACTTCAAATATAAATGATTATTTCTAACACCAATATAATATAACAGCTAGTGACAACAATATTATTTTGACAGAAAGATGATATGTCATGGGTTTTGCTCATGTTCATTATTCTACTTTAATATTTTCATTTGTCTTCAGCTTGATATTTTTCAAGGATCATTTTATTTTCTCTATGGTCCTGCCCTATGCTAGTTTACAGAGATGGATCTATATATCAGATGATAAAAGGAGTGGAAAAGATGGAAACAGAATGAAGTAATATGAAAAAACAAAATTAAAGATCATCATTATTCGTGTGTGAAGATGATCCTTTCAGAAAATTAACCATTAAACTTTTCATTAAGATTATTTAGCCTTTAAAACATATTTTTTTACTTTTTTGGAATAAAATATAAAATAATTAGAAGGCAGAAATAAAGAGACTCTGAAATTAAATCCAATATTTTATTTCCTTATAAGTTGTGGCAAAACAAGCAAAATACAGTCCTCAAGAACATTTTTGTTCAGGGAATGTTTAAGTACTTAGGCTTTAAAACATCAGTTCCAAATAAAGAAAATATAGAATGAAATTTAGAATATGAACAGTACACACAAAAATACAACTAAAGCTTATACTACACCATCTATTTGAATTTCAGGTTGCCAGACAGCAAAGAACATTCTCACACATGCTTGAAAGTAGCACTTGCACGTGTGAAATGCTGATTTACCTAAAAGACTCCACGGTGTATTCGCCTTGCACCAGTTAACACAATTAACACAAGAAAAGAAAAACCTAGCCTTTATCAAGTGAGCATACTGTAACTTTAATTGGTGGTTAGCAATTATTTTTAATTGATATTTGCCTTGAGGGTGGTTTGTATTTGAATGTCACAGAAGGAAAGAAAATTAATCAACGTCATTTCAACTTTATACATTTTAAAAATGGACACATGATTTTGAAGTTAAGCAGAATCAGAGGTAAGCAGGTAGAGGGTACATATTCTCTAAGAGACATAAAAAAATACTTGAAATTCAGGGTAAGGGGTTCAGTCAAATCACACATGGATAATCAAGAAAATCTTTATAATTTAAAGCAAATTCCTCACCCATGTTAATTTCTATGAGTTTCTCACCTTCTATCCTTTATCCAATGTCTAATGTTTTCAGTTTTATTGTACATAAAACTATACTTTTATTTAATATCCTATTATGTTATGACTTATTAACCCGTATTCTTTTACCCTTCATACTCAATCACATATCTTATTTGAGTATTTATAATATTTGGAGGGCAAAACACAGGTGGTTGCATGATTATCCTTTTAATATTCCTAGGGCTCTAAAGTTTCAGATAAAATCTTAAATACAGCAAGCCATAGATCTTCATACACACTCGATCTAGACTGTACCTTGGAGGATAGCACACACTTGACCTGAACCAGAAACACAGAAGCAATAATTTTAGAGAAGAAAAAACAGAAGATATTTCAGAAAAGGAGAGAGTGCTGCTTTTAATAGTAACTTGGGAATTAGCAGAGAGATTTTCATAATTTCGAATCAAAGTCTTTTGAAATATTGCTAATATATTCTAAAAGTAGCACAACTAAATCAGACAGAATATGAAGTTATAAAGCAGGCTATATTTGGATATATTGTCTCTATAAATAACATATGTACCCTACACTTATTTGAATGTCCCAATCTGTCTGTGAAATATGTCCATCCTTGTAAAAAATTCATCAAATAAAATGGTATAACAGTTAAAAAACATTTATGAATTTACCAAATAGGTCCTTATCTTCAATGATCGCCAGCTCAACCTCTTTTCCGGTAACTACTGTGCATGTGAAAGGGTCTTGAAGAAGAACACTGATCTCACCGAAGGACTCCTCCTCCTTAAGTTGACCCATGTAAACAAGTTTTCTAATTTTTTTCTGTAAGAGATATAGATAACTGAGGCTTAATGAAACCACTTTCCTATAATGATTAAATATTGTTACTATCAGAAACTCACTGTTCATAAATAGTGTTAGTATATGGTATTTAAAATAAATTGCAGTTTCATTCAAATCAGAGAAAACATTTACTTGCACGCACATTTAAATTATATTAGAACAACAGTAAAATGATAGACAACTTCAGCATTTCTAAGGTAATTGAAAGCACTGTCATTTAGTGATCTACAAATCAAATTTTTTAATCCACCAAGATGTATGGGAAATATTGAACTCATTCCATTTTTCAAGGTCCTAGGTATCATCTTGTAAGTGTAGCTTTGTTTTGTATATTTTGTGAACCACCGTTTGTTACCTCAGCCCCATTTGCAAGACACACTTGTTGGACTAACAGAAAATAAAGAAAATAAGCAGAGAGTGGTAGGACCAGAAGTGATGGGATTAACAGCACAAGGTGGGATTCTACCCTGACTTTCCTGTTTAAATAAAAAAGAAACATGGAAAATGAGCTTGACTTAGGGAACTAGCAATTCAGGTCCCAATTAGGAACTTTGTGGAAAACGGCCTACAAGATTTTCGGTATGCATGGTTCTGGAGAAAAAGTTGAAACTCTAAATTATCTTTTCAGGGAGAGCTCAACGGTATTGAAACAGAGACGAGGTGGTGAGCAGCAAGATAAAAAACAACAGAGTGTAGCCCGCAGGGTAGGAGCGTGACAAACTCGGAAGAAGTGGAAGCCTTTACTAAGTATCCTGGGTTCAAAAGCCAATATCGAACTTGAATATTTGCCACTTATATAAATGGAATATAACTAGTACAGTAGAATTCAAGTAAGTTCATATATTAAACTAAATTCCACTGGAGACTGCCTGACCAACCCAGAAGGACTGGTTCTAACTTTTCTACCACTATGTGTTAATGTTCTGCCTTTTCTAGAACATCATAAAACTGAAATCATACAGAATGCACTCTTTTGGGTCTGACACTTTTGTCCAACCTAATGCTTTGAGATTCATCCATATTCTTGTATGTTTCATTAGTTCTTTTTAGTGGGACGCCGTCACAGCATGGCTTGATGAGTGGTATGTAAGTCCACGCCCGGGATCTGAACCCGCAAACCCCAGGCTGCCGAAGAGGAGCATGTGAACTTAACCACTACACTACAGGGCCAGCCCCATTAGTTCTTTTTGCTGAGGAATGGCATTCCTTGTATGAATATAGCATAATGTTTCTATCCATTCAACCATCAATGGACATTTGGATGACTTACAGTTTTTGGCTTATGAAGATTCATGTAATTCTTTTTGTAAACACATATTTTCATTTCTCTTGAGTAAATATCTAGAGTGGAATTTCTGGGTCATTTGTTAAGTGTGTTTTAGCCAATCTGATATGCTTATAGTAGTACCTTGTTGTGGTTTAATTTGCATTTCTCTGATGAATAAGGATGCTAAGCATCTTTAACGTGCTTATTGGTCATTCCTAAGTCTTACAACTTGATATATCTTACAATTTATCTTACATTCCTGTATCTTACAACTCAGTAAAGAGAAGAAAAGAAACCCAACAAAAAATAGTCCAAAAAACTGAACAGAAATTTCACAAAAGAAGACAAACAAGTAACAAATGTCCAATAAGCACATGAAAAGATGTTCAATATCTTTTATTCACTAGGGTAGATTAAAGAGAATATGTAAGTTTAAAACTTACCACTTTTTTTGATTGTAGTTTCACAAATCCTATAATACTTCTATAAATGTTACAATATCCAGAATTAATATAAGCCACAAAAGAAATTACATTTCCACTTTCCACTATCACTGAAAATAAAAGAGATAATTCATAATTTCACACATTCTTCTCTATAAGAAATTATTTTATATATTATGACAAAACTTGACATATCTAATTCAATAACTATTGGTAAATTTCTTAATGGATGCCACTTTATAGGCAGTACTTGGCGTATGATAAAAAATTTACATTTGGTATTTATATCTGTAACCTAATATAGAAGTACACATTGACAAGACTTTGGCAGTAAAGGCAGCTTTGTGCTAGTAGACTGTGGTGGAGGAGAGGAAGAGGAGCGTGGCGCAAGCCCCAATCTGTAGCATTTACCCATATTCGTGGTGGAAATATTCTTACCATGGTGAATTTCAAACTGCCAATGGTTTAACAACTAGCTCACAAAATCCCTGAATATTGAACATTGGCTGCTCAGAGCCTGCCCCTTGAGCCAGCCCTAGCGCTCTACTAAACATAGGAGTTGTTAAAAGCAAGTGCTCTGAGGCCATACTGGACTGGTTTGAAACTCTACTCTGCTACTTCCCAAGTGATAAATTACGGAACTTCTTTGAGCTTCAGATTTTTCATCCTTAAAATGGGAAAATTAGGCGTCTTTGTTCTATACCCCACATAGGTAATGAAGTGCATGTAAAGTACTTAGCATGATGCCTGGCACACAGCTTTACGCAGTAAATCATGTTGCTAATATCATTATTATTTGCTCAAGTTTGTGAAGCCACCCTTAGGCCAAGATACACTTGAAGGTGAATTGGCTAATACTACCAATGTATTAAAAAGCAACTTAAATAAAAACCACCTGATCTATGCGATCAATTGGACATATATAAATTAAAATTACTATTTCAGATTGACTTTCTGCTTTGTTCATTCTGAAACATATCAATATTTTTTCTGAAAACCCCAAACACAACAGTGATAACATAAACATAAGGACACATACGTATCTTTCCCATGATTTTATTAAAAAAGTAGACAATTAAAAATATTTTTAATTATTCAAAAGCATTTATTTCACAGTGTAAAAGAGTATATACCAGCATGAGAAAAATTATTGATGTTATTAAAATAATAAAGAAACTGGAGAATAGCACAGCTCTTTAAAAATTATGGTCAAAAAAAGGACAAGGTAACAATTGGTAAATATAATTTACCATAAGCAAACATTAAATAAACACCAACATAGTACAATGGAAAAATACCTTAAGATAAATCAAGTGGGGGCCGGGCCAGTGGCGTAGTGGTTAAGTTCACATGCTGCGCTTCGGTGGCCCGGGGTTTGTGAGTTTGGATCCCGGCACTGACCTACACACTGCTCATCAAGCCATGCTGTGGCAGAGTCCCACATACAAAGCAGAGGAAGATGGGCACAGATGTTAGCCCAGGGACAATCTTCCTCCAGCAAAAAGAGGAAGATTGGCAACAGATGTTAGCTCAGGGCCAATCTACCTCACCAAAAAAAGAAGATAAATTAAGTGGCATTTTAATTATTTTGCTGAAATTGTTTATGAGAATATGTTATCTCCCTTTCTTCATATAGTATTCAGAGCTCAAATTTCATAATAAAAAAATTAAAGAGTTATTCTACTATGACCAATCATTTATTTTGCTTAAATAAGATTTTATAGTAACGCTTTTACAGTCTTGTACTATGTTTTTTATAGCCAAACAATGATATTACAAAGTTATCTTAAGATATCAAAGTACAACATATCTGTAGAACTATGTATAAATTGTATAGAAAACGGGAAGTTTTCTCATAGTTCCTACTCTTAAAAGTAAAAAATATTCTTCTATCAAAGGTTAAATGGTAGTAGAGACTTTTTACTTCTTTTAGTCAATCAGTAGGATATAAAGGAAGGCATATAGCCTCCTGGCAAATATAGATAAGAAAAGGAGGCACTTAGATATTAAAGAGACTCGTTATTCCTAACTTTCAGAGCTGCACTACTATAAATCATTCCTTGAAAATTTGAGTTCTATATAGATCATAGAGAAGCATACATAATATCAAAGAGGATGAAGACCACGAGAATTTTTCTTTGTATCGAAGGCAAGGCAACTATGGAAAAGCCAAACGACTGAGTAAAATTCATGAGGCAGCCTCATTCCTCAGAAGGATATTTGCAATCTGAGTAATCGTCTATGGTTTTCATAACAATCATAGCAAATATTTATCTTAATGAAAACAATACAGCAAAACCCCTTTCATCTAGGTAAGCAGCCTGAATTTAATGATATTACAAAAAATGTGTATCATCACATTTAAGAAAGAAATTTTAAATATTACTATTTTTTACTAGAAAAAAATTATATCAATCACCTGTAAAATTCTTAACACCTCTATTCACTGTGTTTCCTAACTTTACTCATTCAGCCTTTGATCCTGCTTCTCATTACAAAGAACTTATGCCAGTGATGTTAAGATAAATATTGTCATCTCCACACTCTCTCCTCTTGGGTTACATAGAAAATGACAAACAACATAGAAAGATACAAAAGATTATAACACAATTTTAAAGGAAACAATTTAGCTATGGACTATATAGAAGAAATTTTATTCCTTATTATTTAAAGGTCATATTCATTAATGTTCAGGAAATAAAGTTGAATCATGCTTAAAAATTAGGTTTTAAAGAGCCCCATCAAAACTCAGACTCATATTCTAAAACCTGAAAGCATTAGACGATTATGAAAAGAACAAACTTGGTTCTATCTTAAAGGTAAATTAGAGCGAGAAGAAAATCAGAAGGATTTTCAGAAACTGAATATCAGACATTGTTCTTTTTCTTTCTATTGTTTATCATATGCCAGGAAATAGTCACAAGTCTAGTAAAACTATTTTATTCCAATTTTCAGATCAGTTAGAAGTCATGATAGGAAGAATAATTTCCTGTTGGCTATTAGCATCAGCACGGGGACAGTTAAGGTCTCCGTTTAAATGGAAATTAGTGATTAGAAAGATTGTTAAAGGGCATCTTCTTAATGAAGATAAACCCCAGTGCATTAGCCTAACAGACCAAGACACAGTCTTGGAGCAGAAGTGCATCTGAGGATCAGTAAGACTGTTGCAGTTTCAAGCAGGACAGGTCTTAGCTGAATGGATACTAGTTCTCCTTGTAAAACTAGACTACTTGAAAAAGAAGGATATAAAGGTAGAGTACTAGTTAACACTATATGTGAACTTTATTTTCCATTTAGGGAAATTTTTCTGAGCATATTTTCCTTATGAATATATTTAGTTTGCTTTCATAATGTTGCTAAGAAAGGACTTTGCATTTATTGAATATTTCTGTAGGGTTCATACTAAAAAAACTTAAACCAATATTAAAGATTACCTCTTCATTATTAAAAAAAAGTATATTTATTGGCAGATAAAGAGCACTTGTGGCTAAATAGAGGCAAACCCTGAATAGAAATAAGTGTCAGAAGAATTGATCTTTGATTATCTAATTTCCAATTATACTAAGACTTCCGAATTTATGGCACATTAAAATAGGTCATTATTCTACAATATGAATACTATATATAAAATATCCTCATGTATAATTATCTGTCACTTTGCATAAGAAATTAAAAAATAAATGGACATTTCTCTAATCTCACAAATTCGTGATATGGAAAAAAGTTATACATAACTCTATTAATTATTGAAAGAGGAAATCCAGAGAAATATGGACAGAAGAAATTTCTGACTTTGAACATGCCTCAGAAGCTATTTCAAGTAAAGAACTTACTAAAATAATCATTTATTGAATGATTTCACAGAAAATAACAGAACATGACTGGTTACTCGTTACAAAATAGGGCAGATGAGGAAGCGCCAGACTTGGTGTTGGATTCTCTTTTCCTCCTCTCTCTTCCGCATTCTCCCCACATTTTCAATTCTTCCTCCCCCTCCTAGTCTCTAAGACAGGACAAATGCGGGGGCTTGGAGCCATTTCGCAGTTCAAGGCAGGAGGGATTATCAAGATTTGATGCCAAGCCTTTAATACTGGGCTCTTTGTCTTTTCTTATTTATCTGTAGTAATTTTTCACAGATTATGTTACTTAATCTTCACCATTACATACCTTGCAAATATTTACTTCTGGTTTCCTAAGAATGATTTAATTTGTTTGTAATTTTACCACATAGTTTTTACCATTTTGTGTGTGGTCAAACATGTTAAAATTCTCTTCATAAATTCAAGATTGAGAAGATTATTACTAATAAAATAATTCTATATTTTAAGTCAATAAATTTATAGGATTTTTGCATTTAAATGTTTCCTATGATTTATAATTTGAATAATGTATGAGGTAAGAATTTTTATCTCAAATGGATAAAAGTCCCCCCAAAATTGAAAATTCCATCGTATCCCCATCAATTTGAAATGTCCCTGCTATCAGGCATAAATTGATATAAAATCATGAAGGTTTTCTCCAGTTACTTTGTTGTGATCCTGTGCTCTAACACTCTTTTAATTATTTTAACATTAGAATATGTTACAATAACCGTGAGATAACTTTTACCACTGAAATTTTGCCAAAATTTTCTTGGAGCATATTGTGTGTTTGCTCATCTAGAGAAAATTGTAATGCTCAATATTTTATGTTTGTCCCTTCAGATCTACTAATTCTCTCTATGGTGCTGTTTGCCTTGGAATGTCCATGTTCGTACACCTCATCAGCCAGCCTCCCTCATCCTTTGACTTTTGGTTGAATTTGGCCAATGGGAGACAAAGGAAGAAGATTACAGAAAGGAGAATTTGAGGTGCTTATTCTCCCATCCACCTCCCTGATGCACCACTGTGTACAGATGCTGAACACCTGTACCAAAGACCCTACCTACAGGAAAGAGCTGTAGCTACAAGCGTAGTCAGATGCCCACCATTCCTCCCTCCCCTTCCCCCTTCAGACCTAGACGTGGTAGTGGTTCTCTACTATTGAAAGTCTCTGGTGCCTCACCATCCTCCATTACTTTCCCTTAACCTTACCCTCACCTGGTAAGTGGTCCCTTCCTTAATCTCTGTCC